AAGGGAAGCGTATATTTGAATAGTTTGAGTGAATGTTCTTAGGAGTTGTCATCCTCTGTTTCAGAGTGTGTATGCATTTCTGTCTGTCCTCCTCTCTTTACTCTGAGGTACTATTTTGGAGATGCAGTCGGAGCTCCAAAGATGAATGACGTATAGATGGCCAGTTGGATAATTCACTCCAGAGAAGATCGCTGCTGTATTTCTGTTGTGAAAATTCGGCCAGGTGCTAGCTGTATCTTTCTGGTTTCATTCATTCACTTCGAGTGGGGGATTCACATTGCCTATACCTGCTGAGTAACCACTTAATTCTCTGCTTGAGTTAATGAAAACTGAAGTTAGTTCAGAAATGTTTGTTCTCCAGATTACCTCTATTTCTGTGATTTAACCTATTCACTGATGTACCTTTGCTGATATGTATCTGTGTGGTATCCTTGTGACATCCAGCTGTCTTGAAGAATGTGATGAAGGAAATTCAGATCTGTTCACTTTATGCCTTAAGGGCATGGGCCACAGTTTAAGGAGCAGTGTTGGTCATAACCAATGGCCAGATTTGAGGTTTTGGGGGTGTCTTAGTCAATACAGGCTGCCAAAACAGAATAGCATAGACCAGGCAGCTTATAAACTATAGACCTTTATTTCTCACACTTCTGGAGGCTGGAAGTCTGAGATCAGGACTCCAGCCAGTTGCTTCTGGTAAGGGCCCTCCCCCAATTTTAGATAGTTGTCTTTTTGCTGTGTCTCCACTTGTAGGAGAGGGTGAGGGATCTCTGTGGTCACTTTTATAAAGGCACTCATCCCATTCATGGGTGCTCCACCCTCAAGACCTAATCACCTCCCAAAGCCCCCACAGCCAAATACCATCCATCACCTTGAAGATTCAGATCCCAGTATGTGAGTTTTTGAGGGCACACTGACATTCAGTTCACAGTGGGGGGTTACTTTTGCATGTTATTTATTCATTCTGCTGTCTTCCTCCAGTAGAAATAAAGGGAATATGAAGTTTAAAATTTATCTGGTTCTTTGTGCAAAGGTGGAACATTATGGCTGTAGCTTACATAGCTCACTTCAGCTTGACCTCTTCCGACAGCTGCCCTGGTGCTCGTTCAAGCAGGATCACCTCCTGTTTTGTACTCCTCCTTGGGCGCTTTGTTCATGGTGTTGGACTGTCCTGTCCTGTTTTGCCCTGAGGGCTCCTCACTCTCCCCAGTGGGATGTGAGCTTCTGGGCTGGACTGCTGATTACCTTTATATCTCTGTCAGGGCCTCATTTGTAGCGGGTCACACATGTCTCCACTTTGTACCCCTCTGCTTCCTCTGTCCCATCCTCCATGGCCCTGCAGCTGGGTGTGGCTGTATGAAACCTACAGTCGTGCTGACCGCCCTCTCCAAATTCAGACTCACTCACCTGCAGTGGGCCTTGACCACTGCCAGTGGCTCATACTTCCCTGCTTCCTTCATTATCTCATTCTCGCCTCTCACACCTCCAGCACCTTCTTCCTTTTTGCTCTTAGCTCATCTTGCTTCCCATTTATCGAGAAAATGGAGGGAGTTAGGAGATGATGACACCACCCCCCTGGCACCAGGACTCCTGCCTCCCTGTGGGCTTGGAACAGGGTGGCGGCAGCATGGGTCAGTTCCCAGGGCTGCCCTGGTTGGCTGTGTGGCCAGCAAGGGGCGAGAGAGGGCCTAGCCCCCTGGGGAACCTCAGAGGGGTGTGGGCCTGTCCGCCCCGTGGATGGGCGGCTCTGCTCCTGAGGCCCACCTCTCTGCTGGAGGATTAGCCGCCACCCCTCACCTCTTCATCTGCTGCCTTTTCGAGACAGAACCCTCATAAGAAACATGCGGTTTTTTCTCTCATTTAACCAAATGGAACCCACTTTGATCCATTCCTCCTGTAGCCACTGCCCCATTCATTCTTGTTTTACCCATTAGAAAAAAAACTCCCTGCTGGAGTGGTCCTTGGGGTCTGCCGCTTCTCTCCCCCCACCGCTCAGTCGGCTTAGCCTCTCCAGATGGGCTCCGCCTTGCCGTTGCTGCCCAGCCCTCCTGCCTGCGCTGCTGACTTCCTCCTGCACTCTTGCCGCCTGCAGCGCTGGACTCCCAGGCCTCCCACCTGCGACCAAGCAGCGTGGGAGAGCATGGCGCACGCACACACACACGACTTCCTCTCACCTTGGGCTCCTTTGCAGACTCCTCTTCAGCTCCCTGCCCACTGACATCTGCTCATTGACATGTTTTATGGGTTGAACTTTGTGCCCCGAAAGATTCTTGAAGTCCTAACCCCCAGAAACTGTGAATGTGACCTTCTTTGGGGATGGGGCCTTTGCACATGTGATCAAACTCGGTCATTAGGGTGGCCGTAATCCAGTGAGACTAGTACCCTTATTAGAAGAGGATAAGAGACACCAGCATGCAGAGGGGAGATGGCCATGGGACATGGTGGCTGCCTGGGAGCACTAGGGTCGCAGTGCCACCAGAAGCCTGGAGGGAGGCCGCGATGGCCCTCCCGGAGCCCTGAGGGGGCGCTGCCCTGCCACCGCCTTGGTTTGGGGCTTCCAGACCCCAGGGCTGGGGACCATTCCTTTCTGCTGTTCTCCACTGCTTTGTCACACGCGGCCTCTCTCTTCATGTGTAGTCCCTCCTTCATTATCCTCGTCCTTTCTGGGCTTCAAATCATCATCCGTGGTCTGGTGATTCCCAAATTTATGTCCGAGGCACAAGCCTGTCCCCAGACTCCTGACCCCCATGTCCTGCCGCCTGTTCGTCGTGTCCACGGATTTCTCATCAGCAGAAATCCCACATGGGATGCCCCAGAGCCGGCTCTGCCCCCAGACTGCTCCTCGCATGGCATTTCCACTGGCAGCTCCCTCCTTCCAGGTGCTTAGGCCAGAAACCCTGGGCTCACTTTTACCTCCTCGTTTCCTCTCACATCCCAAATAAGGCCTGTCAGCAGATCCTGCCTCTCTGCTTCAGAGCAGGTCCTGATTCCCATTCCGTGTCCCCATGCACCCCCTTGTCTCCATCCCCTGCCTGGCCTCCTCCTGGCTCCTGCCTCCCTCTCTGCTCCTGGCACTTACCTCACTGTGCTCCCCGGGAACCTCTACTCTTCCCCAGAATCCCTCTATATAAGTAAACATGATATATGATTACATAAATTACATTACAGCACCTCCCTAATTATTAGTTATAGTAAGTGTCACTTCCGTGAGGTCCTCACCTGCCCTCCTTAAAATGGCTTGCCTCCAACACTTACCTCTTTTGTCTGCTTGACTTTTTCTCCTGGACACTTACGACTGTCTAACATCCTATGTCTTGTGCTTATGAACCTTTTTTAGTATCTCACTCCCACACTAGAATATAAACCTTTTGAGCTCAGGGACTGAGTCCTCAGCGCCTACAGGAATGTCTGCCATATGGTAGGCATCTCGTAGGATGTGTTGAATAAATAGGTCACCAACACATTTTAGTTGAATAATCTTTTTTAATAGATAATGCTTATTTTTCCTTTTTTGGTGGTTCTGTTATTTTTTACATTTAATTGTAACAGTTTTCCAAGCATGGAGAAGAATAGTGTAAAAATGCCCCAAATGCCCATTACGTAATTGCAATAGTCATTTGCATTTGCCTTATTTACTTCATTTATTTGGAGGTAAATTACAGATATCACGACACATACACATTTTAACATTAGGGATGTTTCCCAGTGTGCCAATATTACACCCACTGAAACTGACAGCAACTCTGTTTTGTTGTCTAATATATATTGTCCATATTAAAATTTCCTAATTGCCTCAAAATGTCTTTTCAAGCTCGTTTTATCAAGCCAGGATCCAGTAAAAGTTCACTTAGTGTATTTGATTATATTTTTTATGTCTCTTCTTGTCTAGACCAGGTTTCCCCCTCTTAACACCCCCACCATCCCCATGAGGCCTTGTTCAAGATTCTCAGTTTATAAATGTCTCACCTTTTGGATGTTGTCAGATTGCTTCCTTATGAAGTCTTAACTTGTTCCTCTAACCTCTGTATCTTCTACAAGCTGGAAGTGAGCTTTAAAGTTTCATCCATTAAATTTTAGTTCAAGAAATTTCATCTTTGAAGCTGCTTCTCTGTAGCCACATGGAGCTTTAGGACATACTCTGATGTTAATGGCAATTCTTCTTTTCAAAGGCCTGGCATTTGCATGAAGAGGGCCTAAGAGCCTGGATCAGTGTTTAGTGTGGCTATTAATCCTTCTGGGGCTGGCCTTTGGCCCTGAAGGTCCTTGATGTTCCACCTGGGAGGGGGGCCTCTGTGTCCTCCATGGCCCAAGGGGAGGTTGCAGACCCCTGGAAGGCCTCCAAGCTTCCTTGGAGTTTCAGGGGTAAATACAGAGCTCTGTTCTGGGCTGGGGATGTTTCTTGTACGTTATGCCTTCCCCTTCCTGGACACACATTTGGGGCGAAGAAAAATCAGCTTTTGGGTGATGCACTATTATTGCTCTTATGTGACAATTCACTTATCCTGTTTGTGGCCCGTCAGTGGCCTGTGGTGGACTTGCCTACGAGAGGAGATGGAGTCCTGCAGGGGCGGAGAGCAAGTGCTGTTACCCTCTGCGCCTTCAATTCTGCTTTCACCTCCCCCGAAAAGGAAAATGAATTGCCTTGAGGGGCAGAAGTGTGAAGACAGACATTTTCTGTAAAATGCACAGAGGAATAGAGAGAAAGTATCGAAATCTAGAGCTGGTGAGGGCTTTTGAGAATTTAGGATAGAATGTATAATAATGAACTATTGATTTCCTTGGATCCTGGTTTCTGAGCAATTTATTTTTATAGTATAAGCATACTTAGTATACTGATTGCCTATTGTATTATGGTTTAAATGTTCAGAATATGTTAGTATAGCTTTTATTGGTCATGAATTAGAAACTACTTATATTACCAAAGTGGCCTTTTAAGGGAAAGCTGCCATCATCTAACATAATGCCAACGTACGACCTTTTCATTCCTTTTCTTCATGACACAGGAAATCTGGGATCCTCTTATGCAGTGGCTGGGGAAGCGTGTGGATCCTGAAGGAGTAATAACATCCAGCAAGATCTCTCTGAAATTTGTTTCATCCTACACATCTGAAACAGAAATCACTCCTTCCACTATACCTGTGGTGACTGACGTGGAGGGCTTCTCATCAGAAAATTTTAACTTGGAGATCTACCGACAAAATTTGCAGACAAGGCAACTTGGAAAAGTAATTCTGTTTGCTGAAGTGACAGCCAGCACGATGAGTCTTCTGGACGGGTGAGTTCTGGCCAGCCCTGTATCCTTACCTGCTTGCAGGAGTCCAGTTATGTCTAACGTCCTCGCCAACCAGGGCTGGGGAGAGGAGGTGGAGTTATAGGACAAGAACTCTCGATAAATCCATTAGCAAGGTGGGGGCATCCCTGTCCTAGAAGAATTAAAATGTAGGCAGAGAAATAAAGTTCTCTGTATTTGAAAGAATGGGGGATTTTTGTGTCTTGTAACCCTTTTCCTTTAATCAGGCTTTTCAGCATGTCCTTGTAAAAAAGACCATTATGAAAAAAACCCATCTTTAGCAGATGGTATGATTGCTCAGGCCATTATTTTACTTTCGTGTTGGTATGACCAGTGTTGGACATTTAGTTTAAGATGCCTTGCAGGGGCGTTAAGAGAGCACATTTGAATGACGTGTAAGCTGTGTTGAATTGAAATAAATTGGAGCTTTTATACTTTGAAAACCTGTTTTGGTATATGTTCCTATCCAATACATTTTTTAAGCACTCTGTCATCCCATTTGGGTGTTTGAAATTTACTCTTACTGCGAGTTTTGCTTTTATTCCTTCTGTTTCATGGACTTTGATTAAAGGTTAAAAAATGGAAACCAGATGAAGGGAATTTAAAAAAATTCCCCAATTAGTCAGTATTAATTATACTCCTTTATTACATCCAGATAGTTTAAAAAGTAGGATTATAGAGGGAGTGAATAAGAAAAGCATCTTCTCTCAACTTGGGATGATTATTTGAGGAGTGTAAGGCTCCTCCTGAAGCCCGGATCTGAGGGGTTGTCCCCCACGGGGCTGCACAGTTAGGCACTTGCATGATTCAGTATATGGAGTTTTTTTGGCCTTTCTTCTTCATGATAATGTCTGGAATTTGATAATATGTTGACATAAAATGATGAGATAACTTTAGGATTTTCTTGACTTTCATTCTCAGGGCCAGGGAACTGGTGGTTTTGTGTATGTGTAGAATGTAGACAAACATTAGTGTGAAGAGTTGGTGGAACAAGAGGGTGAAGTGGGAATGGAAATATGAGCCATAGTTATGAGCGTTTCTTGTTTACTGAGTCATTCTCTATTGTCTCAGGTACTTTCATTTTTTCAGTACTCCCCCCTCTCCTGCCTCCACTCCCCTCTCTTCCCACGGGCAGCTCCCCTGAGAGAATGAACAAGCCTGTTTCTGTGTTTGGAAGAGTTGTTACTTTCTTGTACAAACTTTGTGGTAACCTTGCTACACTGTATTGATACAGTGATTCCCTTACATTTTCCAAAATCAAAATCAGACACAGCATTTAACAAGAGATTTCAGGAGGTGAGATTCAGGTAGAAAAACACTGGCACTTCCAGATTATTTTTGTTGTTTCTGTGGACAGTATGAAAACTATCCTATGTCAGGACAATCCTGACATGCTGGATTTATGGCTTGTGAGCTTGTCTGGGGGGCAGTGCATTACCAAGAGAGCACCAAGTCTCCTGTGGAACCCGATGGTTGGGCTTTCTTGGTGAGCCTGTGATTGTAGAATAGAAAAAGAATGCCATTTAAGTGCACCACTTTAGTACCCTTGAATATTGGTAACATCTTTCTTGATACTGAGATTTTCTTAAAAAATAAAAGTTCTGTCTTATGCAGAATCTTGAATCTGGAAAAGTGTATAGCTGAGCTCGATGATGGTGGAGTCAGAACTTTCTGTAGGATTAAGAGTTTTTATTTTTACAGAAGGAAAATACACTTTATATACTTAGTTCTTCCAAGGGCATTTAGGAATTTTCTTTATTTCTCTTCTTGTCGGTCTCTGTAGAGCACAGAAAGTACAATGGCTTGGATGATTAACCCCCTGCCTGGCCCAGAGCAGATGCTGAACAAACAGTTATTGCTCACCAGAACTTCTCATAGGTTCCGTCTTCCACTGATCACATGGGCTCCTTCCTTCCTGACACGCGGAGAGAGTTACTCCTTGCAGCCTAGTGAGTTGGCAAGCTTGGTGAGAAGTTACTTGGGGCTGGTGGGAGGCTCTTGCCTTTTTTAGGAGAAGGGACTTGAAGAGGTCACTTTGGTGCCAAAAGGCCCCAAAAGTGCCCACAAAGGGACCAAGAGATAGGTAAGTGAAACATATGGCTTCCCACTTTTTAAGAGTAAGACCAAAACCATTTCCATAGCTAATACCACATTTGATCTTACATAGTCTATCCTTACAGAAACATAGTCTGTTGTTTTGGTAGTAATAACAATAATAGTAGCTAACATGTATTGAAAGTTTTTATCTTCCAGACACTTCTTTTAAGTATTGTATGTGTATTAACCGATTTCATACATTATCTTGTAGTACTGGAACAGTGTCAGACTCTAGTATCACACCCGTGTGCAGAATGCCAGGTATCAGAGTTTATTGTATGTGGAATTGTTGCTGTTTCTGAATATTTATAATAACCATATGGTATATTTCATCAATAGGTCAACTGGGCAGCACAGGAGGAATTTTCAAAGTGGTGGATTGTTTCTCTCTACATTTATCACTTCTGTGGCAACTGCATGGTTCTTTCTTAATGGTCTGGAATAGAAGTGAAATTTAAATTAGGTATAGATCTTTATTACAAGGTTTCTATTCCAAAATCATTTTTTTCCTGCCTACCCCCTCCCCCGACACACACACCTTGGGACTTGTAGCAACTGTAGTGGGAGTTCTCTTCCTGAGAAAGAAGGGGGAAGTACACAGTGGGGAACAGCCAGCAGTTTCTGCCACAGTCCCAAATATCCATGTTGCGTCTTCCCCTCCATCAGAAACCACATGCTTCTCATTGACTTCCTCTCAATAGCTCTTGTGTGCATGGTCTTCTATCTCAGGGCTCCTTGGGGTCTGGCCTGTGCTAGTTAAAGCAGACATGCACGTGGCCCCAGCACCCTGCATACCGTGCGGTAGCAGTTGCAGTGGGGACCGCGGAATACCTCTGGGCAGCAGTGGGAAGGCTCCGTGTGCTGGCAGCAGGTCGGTTCATGGTTCTGTTCTCCAGGAAGGGCTCCCTTGCCTGGTGTCCTTTAGGGCCGTGGCTTTGCTTCTTGGAAAGTCTTAACTGGACCACATCTGAGATGGGCTTTTGATGCCCACTCCCCGAGAGGGTCTGAGGTCTGGGTGTCATTGTGGGAGTGAACTGTCACAACCTGTTAAAGGTCAGCCTTATGGTTTCTGTGGAGATCAAGTCTCTGAAGACGTTTGCAGGCCTCTAGCCTACTTGCTTCTGATGATTCCAAGTAAATAACCATCAGCGGTCTTCTCTGGTCAGAGCGTTTCAGCTTGAAACTCTGGTCTTTTAAAGGCTTCGATGCTGTGCTCACCCGCTTCTCTCTCAATTTGGTGTCAGCTCCTTTGGACCTGCATCCACCCAGCAGGTGATCAGACAGATGTTTCACCATACACAACCCTGGAGCCTTGTTCCAGAGAGGCAGTTATGCACCTGGCTGTAGGGACAGCCCCATAGGCTCCAACTAGATAGTTGGTTGCTGACAGAGAGCCCCTCTCTCATTAAAGCTGCATTTTTCCCACCTTCTTGACATTGGTTAGCTTTAATGGAGGTCATTTGTCTTTCAGTAAATTTTGCTAAGAGTGTCAAGAAGGACTGACAAACACTGCCATTTTGAGTTTTCAGAGCTGTTTCCTGTAATGATGCAGCTTCTGACAGACACGTGGTCTGCCTCCCCCACTGCGGAAGCCAGGCCTTGGTTAGATGCTTTGCCACTGTGTGACGGCAGCTGCCCGCGGTGAATTGTGAGCCCTGTGTCCTCGCCAGCCATCCCCTGCCCCAGTCCTCTACGTCAAGCTGCATTTTAGATTCCGTTTCTTGTGTGCACAAGATCTAAGCCCTGGCGTGCCCCATTCAGGGACCAATTTCCTGATCAGTTAGGGTAGTCTTAGCTGTCTGAGATAAATACCCCGAGTTAAAGTGTTTTTAACAGGATTGAAGTTTATTTCTCTCTCCTGTAACTGAGACAGCCCAGGGTAAGTGTGTGGCCCAGCATCAGGGACCTAGTTGAGTTACTCTTCTATGCTCAGCAAGTGGTCCGAGGGGTGACCCGAGCATTCATGTTCTCGCTTTAGCCACTAAGCAGGAGGAGGGGATAAAGAAGGGTGTGTCTGCCTTCTTTATGGACTCTTTCCAGAAATTGCTTATGACAGCTTTTGTTCATATTCTAGACCAGAGCCTAGTCTCATGACCATATCTACCCACAAAAAAGACTAGGACATAAATGTGGTTTTTACACTCCATGAATCCACGAATCCAACTGCAAATCAGGGTCCCAGGCCTCAAGAGGAGGGGGCGAGTGGATGTTGGAAGACAGAAGTCTTCATTACAGGTGTGTACTTCCTATTTGTCAGACTGCTGAAAGACATAAGGGGAGGCTTTTGAGTAGTACAGGTATGAGCCCAGCACCTACCGAGATTTAAAATTATAGGTGAAAATACTTACTTGAATGCTTAACAATAGTTTTGTTTCACTGCTTACTGAGTGCCACTAGAGGTATTTTTCTTCTGTTATTGTAAATCTGGGAGGATTTGGAAATTTCTGTACCAACAAATACTTTGGAGGGCATCCTATTTTCCGACAAACGCTGTAAACTGCTGAGGCAGACACCGAAAGCTTTCATTTGATCTCAGGGTATGAGAGCAGGCTGGTCTTGAATTTTAATGGTCTGTTGGTGATTCAGTAGAGGGGAAAGAGCTCTGGGGACAGGGAGTAAGTAGCAGAGGGAAATACGGGAGTTGTTTGCTGACAACAAATACAGGTCAATTGAAGGGTCTGGGGCCTCCCTTCCTGCAAATAAAAAATAAAAACCATGCGAGAAGTGGTCTGATGTGGCTGGGACACCCAGCAGGTTCGAAGAGGTAATTTTATCCTGTCTCCCTAACTCCATTCATTTCTGACCATGAGATGTGTTTTCTACTCTCTCGTCAGGGCAGCCTTTTCATTGCGATCTGGTTTGGGTTGAAGTTCCTGTTTCTTTCTGAG